AGGACGTCTGAGTCATAGCACGCAGTTGTCGTTAAGAGGGCATTGCTCACTTGGTTACTCCCCCCTGTAGTGGCACGTCCGCTGCATCATTGAGACATCACTTGGAAAAATTAAATCGTATGTACTACACCTATTTGCGAACAGTGTTCGTCGTCCTAATTCTGTTACCATTGTGTTGGTGGTCTGTTTTATAAGTCATTGCCAATTTATATACGACAATGTTATATTGTTATCCAATTTAGTATCATTATTTAAATATGAAAAGTTAATTTGTATACATAGCTAAGCAGAGTTCTTTTTAAAGTTGTATTAGAAAAACTCGAACATTGTATGAATTAAGCATCATCATTTCATCATTAAATTCAAAACTGTATAAGTAATTTCCCATAATTATATTAGTACAACGTGCTTTAAATATAGAAGAAGATACTAGCAGGTCGGGTGACATCTATAATAAGACCCCGGGAGACCGATGAAACGTGCGTTGGAGATTGCTCAAGCTTTTACCGGTTGTTGACTTTAAAACAGCTCAGTTTTAACATTTACCAAATCATTTTTACTTTATGGTTCTTTCTGTTCATTAAAATAGTAATCGTTGAAAGGAAACTATCTCGAGATATTATATACATACATATGCACACATATGTATACCAAACGCGATACTTCAATTTTCACCATGCATACTACGTTTTTAATCAAGGTTATTCTGATAGTAATCAATATAAGGAACATGAAAATGCTATATGGTATTTCAGCTATTGTTAACGATAATAGGAGTGGTTAACTGAAACTAGATGTAGGTCGTTCGGGCCGCTCTACTTGCTACAGTGGCAAATTTGTTGATCGACCTCGAACAGATCGCTTATATCGGATATCTTATCAATATTCGTTGTTGTAAAAATGTGACCAACTAAATTGCAAAATAATATTAGATATAGACCTAAATTATTCTAATATCACCAGGAATGCTGAAAATTTAAATCTAAGACAAAATAGTTATACCAATGGTAGGTAAATATGTAAGGCCTATGCCTAATTATTATATTACACATTTGTAAATGAACAAGTCAAAAGCTCTTATAAAATTACATCATACAATAAACTCATTATTATTATATGCCTCATCTACGCTATAATTATAATTATTACAATGAATATTATAAAGTGGTAAATTTTGTATGTTTGTGAGTTAGTTTGTAGGAAGTAATTAATCTCTTGAACTACTAAACCGATTTAGATGAAATTTGCTATGAAGATAGTTTGAGATCCTGGAAAGGAAATAGGATAGTTTTTATCCCGGAAATCATCTCTTAAGGGGGTAAAAAGGGAGATGAAAGTTTGTATGGGGAATCAATAATTTCTCAACAGTTATGAAACTGAATCATACCTATGTTTATATAATATATTATGTACTATAATATATAGTCTATTTATTCCATACTAACCGTTAAAACGTACCGGTCTAGAAGTTCAGGACGAACCTGAGCGAAGCGAGGATGAGTCGCTAGTAGTTTGAGCTAAAATTATTATACATATTAGTGGGTAGGTGTTGACTTGATCCTGTCATTTCGTCGACTTGTCTTCCATCAACATCTTTAGTTTCTGGGCCGCTCCGATTAATAAAATTAATGTAGCCTACTTTTGTTAGTCAGTCGTTGGACACTTTTTGCGCTGTTGTCTGTAAAGCGTTACACGTTAATCGCGGTTTGTAACATTAACTGTTTCCCTTTGCCCTCGTTTTGCTTAAACGACGTATAGACTTTTTTTTATTTTCTACACCCACTTCAATAATACACGATTAGACACAAAGCCGCAATTGCCTAAGAGAATAACTATAGTTATATATATATATATATATATATATATATATATATATATATATATATATATATATATAATATATATGATGTAATAAAAAGTAACTTAGGCTACTTTTATTTTAAAAATTACTTTTGGTTCCGCTCAAAAAAACTAAAACGTAGGTAGAGAGAGTACGCGAGCGAAGTTAGTGTAAATAGCTAGTATACCATAAGAATTAAATGAAAGAAGTACTTTAATTTTAAAACCATTCTCCTCATCATCAATCAAACAACCTCTTCGCTTAAGCTTAGTAGCCTCAACGCCGGATAAGGTTGCAGGTTAGAGGACATAGTGCTCGTTCTAATAAACTACCGGGCCGCACAGCTGCTGAACATCGAACAAAGCCACCGCACGCGAGCTGTGAACGGATGCAGTGTGGTGATGAAACTGACACAGATTCTAACGTGCGTTTGGTAATCGAACTACAGTACGTGAAAGTCTCACAGGACGGCAAAATCTTGCATTGTACTGCCCTACTTCGATTTACTCTCGACGTTTTGACGACACCGAAACCTAAAATTGGAAAGATACTTAAATATGTTAAGTCTTCATAAGGCAAGAAGTTATTGTTCACTAACGGACGCATCGGTGCCCACCGACTGGAACGAACAAAAATTTGTGTTCGCGGCCCACATTTGGGATGCGAAATCGCGATTGTTGATTGGTATAATACGATGTTGCTACATTTTCGCCTTGCATTCTATTCCATGAGAGATTTCAAATATCGCCATTAGGGCACTAGGTCACTAGTTAGCATACCTACTAATTACAACGTCGATTTATTGTTATTTTTATTCTTTCATTTATGTTAAAAATTTTAATTGATTCGTCGTTTCTATACGATATACCTATTTCAAAAATTAAGCATTAATATTTTATTTATATAATAATAAACTATAGTCGACGTAAAGTGACGTGACCCAGCATGACATTGACATAATATGTTACTCGCACGTAATTATTATAAAATTATTAATTATGAGAAGAAATAAAGCAAAAGTAGTGGTTCTGTAAATAGTGAAACTGATCAGGAGTTTCATTTCAATTTCTCTGTCATTGCTGAAGGTTAACATTATTATTTGGTCATAATCATTATTTACTAATTAGCAATGCTCCCGATAGGAATTATGCCAACCTGCCATCTTTGAGTTTTAAAATTCCGTACAAAACTTCATCCACTGTATAATCCATTTAGGAGGTTAGAATTTTATTATATGTATAGAAGTTAGATAACATAAATAGTATTTATCTATACATATAATAAAATTCTAACCAAGTCGAATCTGTACATTAAATATTTTTTGGAAAATCTTATTCAAATAGTCATTATTATCGATTCAGAGGCCGAATACACAGGATGTCCCAGAAAGTAGTGTCAAGCGGAAGTCCAGAGATAGAGCACCTCTTGGGGTACCCGAATCACCACCATATATGTTACGCGATTGTTCATAGTTTTTGAGTTATGATTTTATTTTCTCAATTTTTGAGAATTTTCAAAATGAACAACTTAGTTCTAAAAAAAGCAGAAAACTTTTTCGCGTTTTTTTTTTGCAACTGAATCTTCGTGAGTTGTACTTTTATGCTTAAAATAATCAGCTTCGTAACTTAGATGGAAATTATGAAAATGTTGGTGTAAAGTGAAAAATTTACGTTCGGTGAATTATGACGTTTCCTCTCTTTTCAAGTTTAAATTAAAAATTTAAACAGGTAACTTCATGATTCCTAAGTAGGTCTCAAAAGTTTTCCAGACTCAAATTTCATAATTATTAAAAAAAGGGAGTACTTAATAGGCTAAAATCGGCCTTCAAAGATAGCGAGGTGGAAAATACTTTATCCATCTAATTACAAAAATTTTTTTTACATTTTATCATTCCTAATGTTAATTCGTTTGTCAACTAACCAAAAATGACTGCAGAAAAGCTAAGATTTAAATACTACGACGTGAGCGACTGATTCTACATCGCTGAATCATCACACATGCACAGAGGGCTGTCCGTTGCGCCGATGTTGAATAAGTGTTTGTTCAAGGGACAGTGGCCCGTGATCGTCCCTCTCATAATTTGGAGATTCATTCTATTTAGGCTTAATAGGCGTTTAGTAAGACGCGGGCTTACTGCAGGTAGAGCTCATCTAGCTTGCCTGCAGTCTACCGTTTGCAAATATCTGTTATTTTGAAGTATCGTGGATCTTTGGCGGATCCAGGTGCGACCCTGTGAAAAGGGTAGGAGAAGAAGTGGGTATGAGCCAGTTACTTCTAATTTTGTCCCGTCGTTGCCAAGTGAACCGCTGTGTCCCCTGATTCATTGAGTAGTAACATGATTGTCGATGCTATTTGTATCAAGGGCATGGTGACACTCAATTATAAGTTTGATGTTGGTCTGTGCATGGTTATTGCTGCTTCCGTTATGGCTACACATTCGCATTGAAAGATCGAACTTTGTATGCCTAAATGGTATGTGTATGCTTAGATCCATCGGTTTAGATTCGTAGCTCGTTGGCTGCTGAGTGGTCTATTCTCTCTTCGTTCATATTTATGTTGTATTTTTTGTTAAAGATGTGTTTATTATATGTTCTAACACGCGGGGCGGCAAGTTGCAAGTTATATTGATATAAATAAAGAGTAACAGATATAATTCTTAGGTTTTCTTACACTTCGTTTAAATAGTATTGGTGCTTTGCTTTGTTAATTCTTTAACACCTCCAGGTAAATTTATAAGAAATTAATTAAATTTCTAAGAAATCTATTGTTAATTGTAACGCTGGCGTGTCCGCGGTCGTGGAGGGATTAATTGAATTATATTTTATTGTTAAACTGGTATATTCACAATGCACATGCCTATGCGTATCAGGTACATACGTATATACTGTACATACATAATTGTACCTGAAACATTTTTTAACATTAAACTTTGTCATAAAAGTATATATCATGCTTTCAACTTTAGATGGTTTATTTGTCATTGTCTGATTCAATTATAACCGAAAATGTACTAAATGTTGCTAGCATCTACATATTATGTTACCTAGCATCTTTTTGGATAATCACTGACAGATTACTTACAGAGTCATATATAATACATTGAATGGTACTACAATTATTTAATTAAAACTTGTGATATTAATGATTAACTGTGTTGCAGGCTCGGGTCGGGCAGCGAGTGCGGCGGTGGGGGGTCGGGCGGCGGCGCGCCCGCTCCACAATCGGCGCGCGTATCCTCCAACGGTTCTGGCGGGATGGCGGTGAGCCGCGTGCCGAGCCCGTTGCACGACGGGAACACGCCTGTAGCGGAAAATTGGTGCTTTACACAGGTATCCTGCCTTGGACTAATCGGACAGCTGTTGTAAATGCGAAAGTTTGTATGTGTGTGTATGTTTGTAACTTTTTCACCCTAAAACGGTTGAACTGATTTGTATGATATTTAGAACATACATAGACAATGACCTGGATTAAGACATGTCTACTATTCACTTATTCACTTATCACTTGTATTTTATCTAAAAATACGAGTCCTAAGGAAAAACAGACTACTGTATCATGTGTAGGAGACTTACTACTTATAGAAGTATATAGATATACATACGTATTATATAAATTGGTTATATTTATATTGAACCTACTGGTTGGACTATAATTGTAACTGTGGCGTGTGTCTTAGAACTGCCTTAAGATCAAAGGTTTAATTCCTACAGATGAGGCATGTTTGTATTTTGCATATAGATATTTGTGCTCCTACTAATTTCTTATGTACATCCCACTTCAAACGTAGGCAGAAAAAGACAACGTATGTGAGATGTCATCATTACAGTTCTCTTTTCCATGTTTTTAATGCTAATGTGGATTAAGTTAAAAAACAAAAATGCTAATATAATAAAACATAGCAGTTACGGTTCGTAAAAAATAAACTATAATAATATAATTTTACTTAAGCCAGTAACTTAATACATGACATAATAAAATATAAAACTTAAATATAGATACTTTATTTGGAATGGAATGTTTATCGTATCTTTACTATTAAATATATATTTACAAAAACAATGCGCTAATTGTTTGTCATTAACCAGGAAAACATCTACATATTTATGAGACTTACATGTTTGTGTGTATTGTGTGCTAATAGTGTTATTACACAATAAAATCATATAGGTCTCCTGAATTATCTAGATTTCCATGATAGAATAGTTAAACTGAGAATCCTGAACAAAGCAAAAGAACCAAGGACGTAGATTATTTTTCAAGTGCTAGACAACATACACACTCTTATAAAACATTAGATTACTTACCAAATTTTTTTTTGTAAGAAAATCAGAGCAACTGTTGGACAAACTATAGATCGCGGCCGGGTGTTATTTTTTTAATATTTTTTTTGCCAAAATCTATTTAGTTCGTGAAAATAACGGTATTTCAAACTCGTTACCAACAGTGCAATGGTACGTTTATTTATTAAGGTTTCACTCGATTTCAATAGTATTGTAACGGTCCTTAAATTTTATACAAGTACTAACGCCATTTCAATGCTACATATATTGCACTAGCATTGTCCGCGGCTCCGCCCGCGTTCAGGTGACCAAAACCAAATTCTTAGGTTCTACATATTAGTATACTCTTACAATGCAGTTTTTGTATTTTTCTATCTCAGAAATGAGATATTTTCCCGCGGTAAAAAGTATCCTATATGTTGACCCGGATAACCAGCTATCACCATACCAAATTTCATCAAAATCCCTCCAGTGGTTTTTCTGTGATGCGGTCTTCTTCTTCTTCTTTTCGTGTCGATGGCAAGTTTTAAATGGAGTCAGCCCAAAACTGTGATGCGGTAACAGACAGACAGATAGACAGACAGACAGACAAAAATTCTAAAAACTATAGATTCGGCCTCTGTATCGATAATAATGTCTATTTCAATAAGATTTTCCAAAAAATATTTAATGTACAGATTCGGCATAGTTAGAATTTTATTATATGTATAGATTGGTAATAATATACCAAACTTTGGAAATGTGTTATTAAATGTTTTATTAATTGAACAATTGTTTCGTCATACTGTTGGAATAGTACTAAACTATGTTACGAGCACGTGCAATACAACGAATAACTAACACGACTCACGTGGGCTTTTTTGTGATTTACACGTTTTTAAGATGCAATGAATGATATTAAAAAACAAAGTGTAGATTGTTAGTTACTTTAAAAAGTTTATTTAATTGTTTTTCTGATTTAAAATATGCAAATTCGAATTTATTTCTACAGTTAGGTTCTTCCATTAGTGTCAATACGTATTTCTATAATATCTTTACAGCATTTGTCTAAACAATATATAATTAAATAAATATTATCCGTCCATATAGGAAATTAATAATATCAACAGATTTACTTCGCGTCGTCACATCAAGGTTATATAAACATTTATGTAGCTCTGTGAAATGAAATACATACTTATATTTTTCCAATAATTCAAGTGAAAAGTTTAATTATTTTGTCATATTATATAATATAATAAAAATCTAGTCGGGAGTCGGGTTTTCGCGATCGGTAAAGGTGTCCAAGAATATGCGATGAAGATGATGCGGGCGGCCTTGGAACGGGTCGGTGACCGGGCGAAGACCTCAACAGCACCGCAAGACGGCAAGCCAAGCAACGGTCGGGGGCAACGACCAGGTCCCAAGTGCCGGCCGCCTAGTCCTGACCTCCGGTTACTCATGTACACACCTCAAGCAAACGTGGGCCCCAACACGTGCTACTCAACCGTATAGAGCTGTTGTCAAAGCGCAAACTTACATTATTCTATAATTTTTATATCATCTCGTTTCCAGTTTATTCGTTTATAGCACTTCAAGAATAAATGTTATTTAATAAACTTTACTTGAAGAGTGGTAAAGCTTGATTATTTAATAACATATTACCGATAAAATACTAGTGTGATCGATCAAATGTTCCTGAAAACAAATTACGCATATATTATGAAATTAGCATAAAGCTCGTCGTTATTTCAGTCCCATTAATCGATAATCTCGCCACATAATACTTATGTAAAGACATAACTAAAAGAAAATACACAGTAGATATATTCTGTTTATACAATGGTTAAATTTATCGTAAACACATAGTTAACGTCTATAGTCCATACGGTTACTTGTTCCGTGGCTATCATGGGCGATAAAAATTTACCACATCATAAAGGATGTGGTGTCATAGTCAGTGACTCGGGAACTGTTTACTTATGATATTACATTTATTAGAAAAGAGGTTTAACATACTCGTACCTATATTATTATAAAAATATTAGTAGGTAGATCTTCTTTTAAGAATAAACATTACGAAACTTAAATTTGGACCCAGTTATAAAAAAAACAGCCATGTGTGTAAAAGTACCAACAGAGTTATAAGCATTTTTCTGTCGATAGTTGCACTTGAATTATGTTTTATTTTTCTGGTTATTTTAAAATTAAACAATATTTATATAAGTATTTTTTCGGATTATTTCGCGGATTTATTTTGATTTTTGGTTCCCGACGTTTCGAATGCTTTACAGCATCCATGGTCACGGGAGAGACTGAGGTGTTACATGTCTTGAAGGTATAGTTGTTACAGAGAAGGCTGTCTGTACACACCCACAATTAACAAAATGAAAATTGCACCAATTACATTACAATATTTTATAACTTTAAACATTTTTATAATTTTAATTATAATTGAATATGGAATATTATTTATTTAATTTTTGCTATTATTTTTTTTATAATTATTACAATTTTAAAAATATTAATTAGTAATCTATATTTAGTGTTGCCATTATTATATTTATAACCATAAAGAAAAATATAAAATATAGTATTAATTATTTAAGCAATTGTTCTATGTGTAATTTAAAAAAGTTAAAATTAATTAAGGATAATAATGATGGCACTTTTACGCACATGGCTGTTTTTTGCATAACTGGGTCCATTTATATTGTACTCAAAAATAGCAGTTAAAGTATATAATGTGATATTTTACCTATTTTAACATTTTTGTTTCTTTATTCCAGGTTAAAGTGGTCAAGTTCAGTTATATGTGGACAATAAACAATTTTAGTTTTTGTAGAGAAGAGATGGGAGAAGTGTTAAAATCATCGACATTCTCAGCCGGTGCTAGTGACAAATTAAAGTGGTGTCTTCGCGTAAATCCTAAAGGACTCGATGAAGAGAGTAAAGACTATTTATCGTTATATTTATTATTAGTGTCGTGTAATAAATCAGAAGTTCGTGCAAAGTTTAAGTTTTCTATATTAAATGCGAAAAGAGAAGAAACAAAGGCGATGGAATCACAACGTGCTTACAGATTTGTTCAGGGCAAAGATTGGGGATTCAAAAAATTTATAAGAAGGTAATTATTTAAATATTATACGCTAAATTAATTTGCGTAAAACAATATATTTTATAAAACTCTTTAACTAGAGTTTCTTGACTACCTACTCATATTACATTATAATATTATTGAAATCTTTTATACAAACAAAAAATAAAATCTTAATATTTCTAGTTTTTACAAATATATAAGTCATGTTAGTCGTCGTAAGTTGTAAATGACTGCAAAATATATTCCATACATCGTATTTTTTTAAATAATAATTGAATTAAATTTAAAATATGTGAATATCACAAATACACACTTTAGTTTGTAGTTTTATTAAATTTTAGTATTTGAATTTTATGTACATGTTCTGTATATTAATAAGATTCGATTAATATTATAAATATATTAACATATTTATTATATCGTACCTAACTCGAACCTAATCAGATAATATGACATAAAGAATAGTTTATAAGTATGGTTGTATTTATTGTGACGCATGTATGTATGAGTGATATACTAAGAACTTGTTTATTGATAGTACGTATAATACTTTACTCTTCTCGTTAAGGAACAATGCATGCTGTGTGTCCAATAGAAAATGTATCTGTATATTTTTATTTAAATATAGGTACTTATTTATATATCTTATTACTTCTTTTAAATTAACTACATATAAGTAACAATCTCAAACGTATTAATTTGTTGTAATTTCATATTTTAAATGGCAAGTGCATTGTAAAACTTCCGCACTTGATTCGTTCTTAGAATATTGATAACATACTAATTCTGCTAACAGCATGGTAGCTCCTTTATACTAATAAATAAAGATTGTCTATACAATACGACGTAAAATCCTGTCGTTAGCAAAATTAGTTAAAAATTAAATGCTAACTGAAAAATTATGATGGGATGCTTCATAACTAAAATGTTCCTAAATTTGAATTACTTAATACATATATTGTAAACTAGCATTGCCCGCGGCTCCGCCCGCGTTTAAATAAACAAAAAACAAATTCTTAGGTTTTACATATTAATATACTCTTACATTGCAGTTTTTATATTTTTTCTCAGAAATGAGATATTTTCCTGCGGTAAAAAGTATCCTATATGTTGACCCGGATAACCAGCTATCATCAAAATCCCTCCAGTGGTTTTTCTGTGATGCGGTAACAGACAGACAGACAAAAATTCTAAAAATTATAAATTCGGACTCTGTATCGATAATAATGTCTATTTCAATTAGATTTTCAAAAAAATATTTAATGTACAGATTCGACTTAGTTACAATTTTATATGTATAGATAATAAAAATAATACCCACTTCTCTCTTTATATTGTAAGAGTTCGTTCGCTATAAATATGATTAATTGGTCAAATAATTGGTTAATTTTTAATTCCAGAGATTTCCTATTGGACGAAGCGAACGGACTATTACCCGAAGACAAACTGACCATATTTTGTGAAGTGTCAGTTGTCGCAGACAGCATTAATATTAGCGGGCAGAGTAACGTCGTTCAGTTCAAAGTCCCGGAGTGTCGCTTATCGGACGATTTGGGTGCGTTGTTCGACAATGAAAGGTTCTCGGACGTCACGTTAGCAGTAGGCGGCAGGGAGTTCCAGGCGCATAAAGCTATATTAGCAGGTAACTACGCTTCACCGTTGTATTAGAAACAATTTATTTGCTTTCACTCGTTTTGGTTGTTACATTGTAAGGCATTCAATGAATGCGATATTAGTAATTTAAAAGGAACCTTGTAGACAGTACCGGACTCAGGACTGAGTTGAGAATTTTACTGTTTATAAAACAGGTATTATTTTGTTTATAATTATTAATATTTAAGGGTTCATACAAGAGCACAAGGGTAAATCTGCTCATGTGTCGGTAAAAAATGGCCGATGGCTTAATTACAGGATGTAAGCTATCTCCATTCCGAATTTCACTAAAATCAGTTGAGCCGATATAGTGTAAACACGGCCATTTACTCATTAACTCACAAACTTTCGCATTTATATTAATATCTAATAAAACGTGATATGTGAAATCTCACTCCGTTTTATGCTATGCGTCAGATTCGCGCGACAATGTGTTGTGTTCATAATATTTAAATTGCCTATCGTGTGACTTTATTATAACCTGTCTGAGACTAATATCTCTATGGTCATAAACAAATGCTGCCCAACTCGTGGGCTCGAGTTAAGACGGTGTACATTTTTAGATGATGGTATTTTCGATATTAGTATCGAAAATCTAGAAATGTAAACAATGTTGATTAGTCGAACATTTGCCACAATGCGTAACAAAAGTCGTCGATTTGTTTGAGTCGTTTGTATTGTATATTATACATATATTAATATATAACCTTGACTATACAATAACTAGCGCAGTTTTGTGGCTGTTGAGGTCTTCATCTAACATAACAAGCAATCGATTATTGTAAAACAACAATTATTAGCTTTGTGTACACAACGTGCTGACACGATAACGGCGTAATTAACATGGTTGCACGGTGTGTATTGTTTCCGTTTCGAGATGAATAATATCAACAATTTCAATTCCTAATTAATTTGAAAATACCTATTTGATAAAATTGCTGAAACCTAATTTAGGTCGTGGAAAAATATGTCATGGGAATAATGCAATCGCTTCGTTACTGGGTTATCGTTTTGAATTGGCCGACTTTTCAGTGCTTGTTACGATGTTTATTTTTATAATGAATATATAAATATCAAGAATAATGTTGTTTTTAGCGCGGAGTCCCGTGTTTGCGGCCATGTTCGAACACGAAATGGAAGAAAGAAAAAGAAATCGAGTGGACATCACTGACGTAGACCACGAAGTGTTACGAGAAATGTTAAGATTTATATACACAGATCGTGCGCCAAATCTCGACAAAATGGCAGACGATTTATTAGCGGCCGCAGACAAGGTATTATAATTTAAAATGTTCTTTTTTTAATTTTATCTTATATTTTTTATCACTATCGGAAATGTTAATATTCGTGCTGAACTACTGAACTGGAAGGTCAACGAATATGTTAAAAATTTACTACAAAAAACCTAAGAAATAATATTATGACATTTTACCAAAAGCGTTAATTAATGTATCAATTATTGTTTGTTCTGTGTGTAAAATAACAATACACATGTAATTTCGCATTGTATTTTAAAATACATTGACTTTAAAATGATATTGACTTATCTTACTCGTAAGTTTCTGAATAATAATTAGCTTAATATTTTTAAAATACTTATCAATGTTTCGTTTTTGTGATAAAAATCTATACATATAATAAAATTGTAACTAAGTCGAATCTGTACATTAGATATTTTTTGGAAAATCTTATTGAAATAGACATTATTATCGATACACAGGCCGAATCTATAGTTTTTAGAATTTTTGTCTGTCTGTCTGTCTGTTACCGCATCACGGAAAAACCACTGGAGGGATTTTGGATTTTGATGAAATTTTGGTATGATAGTAACTGGTTATCCGGGTCAATATATAGGATACTTTTTACCGCGGGAAAATATCTCATTTAAGAGAAAAAATACAAGAACTACAATGTAAGAGTACATATACTAATATGTAAAACCTAAGAATTTGGTTTTTGGTCATCTGAACGCGGGCGGAGCCGCGGGCAATGCTAGTAAAGTTATATACTTAATATTGTTTATGAAGTTCTCGATCAACATTAAGTCTCGAAATTTTTAGTTTTCATAATTGAGTATGGCGTTAAAGTTTAAATGCATTGAAAATTAAAATATTATCAAGGCCATATTTAACTAGCCTCAACTAATTAACATGATTCTTGTTTTTATTATACAGTATTATCAATATGAATGTTTCTCTGTCTATATCGATTAGCAGTTCTATTCAATTATTGTAATTATTCTTACTAATTATGTATAACTAGCTTCATTTGACGTCAGGGGCCATTCATTAATTACGTAAGGATGATTTTGACGATTTTTGACCCAGCCTACCCCCATGTAAGAATACATAAGATTTCTATGGGTTTTACCCCTCTCCCCTCCCAGGTAAGGGCGTGTATAGATTTTCTTACCCTTTGCTTAGGCTTGCGTTGCTGACCCTTAAGTAATTAATGAATGGCCCCTTATATTATTTAATGATTGTCTCTATCATTAATCCAGTACCAGTTTTCGTACTTTAAAATATTATCTGAAATAAAAAAAAAACAACTTATTCGAATACCGTCAATATGTACACCTGGAAAAAGAATCTGTGTTGTGAAAATTAAATTGTTACGTTAGTATTTTTTACTAAATAATTCACTTAATTATGAATGTTAAAATATTCACCGACACATTAATAAGGTTACGTTTAAAACAGAACCTTTATGATATCACTTGTCTGTTTCTCAGTCATAGTCTATTTGGAAGTATAATATAGATTATAGGTATAACAAATATATTATAAAGACCTATATAATAGGTATACATCATACATATACATAATGTATGGAATTACCCTCTTGTCATTCAAGTCTGATATTTGCAGCAATAATTAATGGATGCAATAGCAGTAAATATATAATTAGATGCACAATGTACAGGAAATGTATAACGAAAACAACAAAGTCAAACAAATGAAGTCTATAAAACCCTATAATATATGTACAGTATACAGAATAATTTTTCACCTGATTTCCATTCAAATCCATTTTCTTACAGACATATCACATTGTTTACCAATTCGGTAATTTTAATAATTAATTAATAATTATTAAATTAATAAAAATATACTAAATTTTTTTATTAAACGTCATCATGAGTCTTTCGAAAACTAATTAGGTTCTAAGAGATACAGGCAAGGCTAAAAACTCGTATTTTTTTCTCTTTTGTAAGTGTGCTATTTCGTATGTAATGAAAAGGTTGGCATGTACCACGTAGTTGGTAAAAAATAGAATAAGTTTTTTATGTAGTAAAAGACCTTAGTTTTAATAGAAATAACATAAAAAAATACATTTATGCAATTTAGTAATTTTTCTTTTTTTTCTTTTTCCAGTACGCGCTAGACAGATTAAAGGTGATGTGTGAAGAAGCTCTCTGCCTCAGCCTGTCGGTGGAGACGGCGGCCGACACGCTCATACTCGCCGACCTGCATTCTGCCGACCAACTCAAAGCGCAGACGATAGACTTCATTAACACGTTAGTTTGCTCTTGTTATACGTTTATTGTTGGTCTGTTAGTGGCACCTACGTTTGTATAGGCCATTCCAACTAGGTAGTATGTTATGTTTATTTGTTACTACATTTCATCCAAATCCGTCTAGCTGTATTTTTTTTATAAGAATATTTTGTTTTTATTTAAGCGAAGAGTTTTCAGTAATGTATGTATATTTGTGAAAATACTATGGCGCGATAAGCAAGGATATATTAGGGATATCATATGATATTATATATGCTAGGGACTAATACTCTCATTGAATTAGGGCGCATCCCGCGACGTTAAAAAAAGGGCGCGTCCATATAGCCTATGTTATACTCCAAGTCTTGTGACTGGGAGTATAACATAGGCTATACAACACATAACAGTTGTTTGTATAGTTTTTTAATTTTCGCGTTTCATCTAATACGAGTATATAAAATTCTCGTGTCACAGTGTTTGTAACAAAACTCCTCCGAAACGGCTTGACCGATTCTTAAGAAATTTTGTGTGTATATTCAGTAGGTCTGAGAATAGGACGTAAACTATTTTTCATGTCCCTAAGTGATAGGGTGGTCCACCCTAAAAAAAATGTTTTATTTATTTGGAAAAAAAAATATCATTTAATTTTTTTTTTGTGATTCGGCATTAAAAATACATACAAATTTAAATTTTCTCTAGGGACACAAACCCGAACGGAGCGAGGCTGAGTCGCTAGTAATTATATAAGAATGACACTACTAAACGTCCCGTTTCGTCACGTGGTGTCATTCTTCTTCATCACGGGGCAAAACGAGACGTTCAGTGGTGTCATTCTTATACCATAGTTTATGTGTGTATTAAACTTCATTCAAATTAAAGCGGTACAAACTATTTAGAATTTACGCACATACCAAAATTACAAACATGCACACACACCAACATTCGATTTTATAATAGTAAACCGATTCTAACGATATGACAATATTTTTAATGTAAATTAACACAAAAGTGCTTATCTCTGCGAGGAGCGACTAGACAAGTAGAGCCTAGCTAAGTTTAAATCATATTGTTTGAGTGTGAATATATGTTTCAGGAGTCACGCGACGGACGTGATGGACACGGCGGGCTGGAAGAACATGATCTCGTCGCACCCGCACCTCATCGCCGAGGCCTTCCGCGCGCTCGCCACGCAGCAGCAGCAGATCCCGCCCATCGGGCCGCCGCGCAAGCGCGCCAAGCAGGCGTAGGCCCAGCGAGCAAACACTGGCCCGCGCGCACTTTGGACACGCATTTGTATCGCACTTAAACGTATCATCGTGCTCATACGGCGAATTAAGTGCGCGCATTGAATACGTTTTTCCCTGTCGAGTATGTAGTTCCATTCATTTTTTTAATTTTCAATGCGCGAATGTGTTTTTTTTTAAATCGCAACAAGTTCTGATTGTATTCTGACGTCGGAACTACACGCACGTATATGTACCTACGGAGTACGGACTAACTCGTACCCAGTCCGCGCGCCTCCATAGTACTAGAAAGGTCGGGATCGTTTGTGCGTGTTCGCACGAGTTAAATTCGGACGAAAACGTATCCAAAGTGCGCGCGGCCTTCCCCTCCGCCCTCCGCCCTCGCCCTCCTCACGCGGCTACAGATGTGCCTCGCTCAGGTATACACGTGCCACACACGGATACATTTCGACACCTTTGACAACAACATTGCAACTTAGTATTGTAGCGATTTTGAATTTTTGATTGTATGTTCTCGAAATATAGCTGATGTTTAATATTTTAAATGAAGTTATTTTTTCCAATATTGTCACGGCTTTATTTTATATTTTTGTTCCCGACGTTTTGATTACAACATACGTGGACACGGGAAACAGTAAGGATTTAGACGTCTGTAAAGTTAGTAACTATAGTTCATGTCACCTTTCCATTTCAATTTTATTCAATACCGAGTTACGATATTGTCGGTTGCAAGTGGCGATTTGTAAGTAATAAGCAATAATTACTAATAGGTATAGTTAAATCTGCTATATGGGTACCTGTCGTGATGTTGGTATAACTATATCTGTTTGACAGGGCGGCAATTTTATAGTTTGACAGGTTTGTCACACGAGTTATTTATCAAAATGTAATTTTTATTGCCCGCAGATAACGATGAATATGAAATTTTAATAAATAGCTTGTATGTGTTTTAACCTATTAAACTTTAAATTCTAGTCGTGTAAAATTGGCATTTAGTCATATCCAGGGCTGCCAGATCCGTATAATTGGATACGTAAATTGTAAAATATGGTTATTTTATGTATATTTCATTTTAAGTTATTACGTATCATTATTGAAATTTTTAATTCATCACAGACTATTTCTCAACAGTTTTGTTAATTTGTATAATAAAATTTGATTTGGTATAATTTGAGTGATCCAGCAGTATAAAATAAATTGGCTCGACTGGCAGCAGTTGTCTCTAATGACTACTGGCAGCCCTGGTCATATCAACGTATGCACGATATCCATAGATTATAACAGACGGTATTTTTGCATGTTTTTTTATTATACTATTCGCCGGGCGACGTGTGTTAGAGCGCGGGGCGCGGGTTCGGGTTCGGGTTCGGGGCTTCGTTCACTATTATTGATCTCAAGACGATATTCGATCCTAACGTTTGTCTCTCGCGGTCGTCTGCCGCTTTTAAATGATTACTTTAGTATGTATGTTACGGTACGGTATGATGGACGCTTTTTGCGCGTTTACGTAGTTACGAAGTAGGCTCGGAGTAAATTTTTGTGTATGTCGTTTCTGTGAACGTTCTTTTATCGTTATGTTTATGTAAATTATTGCAATGTATTCGATATAAACCTCATATTTAAACGGACGTTCGGTGTCATGAATTGTTGAGAAGGATCGTCGGATGAAGAGAACGGAACGGGATGAGTGTCTTCGTAAATAGTGACATATCGATGTTCACCGATTCGAGGAATCGTAAGCCGCTTTCAGAATATTCTCGGTAGACGTTTAAAGTAGCACTTTTGATCTACTCGAAGTAGTGTGGTAAATTGAATGCAATAAATGTTTGTAAAGTTGTGTAACATAGTTTTGTACAAATATTTAAGAGTCCCGAGCGGGGTGACCTCGTCTCCTTACGGGCTCGCCGTGTGGTTTTCTGTACAAAGCTCTGTGACATTAATTTAGTCGTCGTAGGTGACTCGAGTGATTGTAATAAGTCTATTCAATTGTTGGTGTTGTATATAGATGAGCTATGATCCCACCATTACAATATATCTAAGTACTAAATTTTAAGCGGTATCACTTTGAAACACCATTCATTTTTATTACACATAGGGTGATATTCCAATGAAATATTGTGATTTTTCTGTATATTTAAAAAATAATAAAATTTTATTTCAATTGACAAATTGTCCTTGTTTAAAAATATTTTTAGTAATGGTAATAGTCATTGGTTTGCTTCGTCAATGTATTACATGTCTTTATAGCAAAATAAATTACTTCATCGGAATGAGTATAATCTGTGATTCATTTATATTCATCTTGTTGAAGTAACGTGTATTGTTATTTTTAAAATTCGAATTCGATTTATATCAGTATCTATTGTTATATACGACTTGAGTATTCTTACTGTATAATTTTCGTAAAGAAATGTACCAATTTCAATGTGTAACTAAAATATATAAATAAATAGAAATATACTGTGGCCAATAAATTAATATTTATAATACCATTTTATACCCACTTCCCATTTACATACTGGCAGCTGTTGTCGCGTAATATGATAGTTACAAAACAATTGTCAGAGATATTAACTGTGATTTTCGAAATTGTCAGTAAGTTGAGCAAATAAATGAAATAATGTAATGTAATTTGTATGTTATTGTATGTACCTCAAATACACCCCACACTGGTTATTATCAAAAATAACTTGATGTATACAAAGAGCGCATCTTTGAAGCACCTAAAAATATCCTCTCAAGTTTCATTTTTTGATTCTCATATCAATATTATAAAAACAAAAATGCAATATATAAAGTACTTAGCGATTTACCCCCGATTCATTCGAGTGCGTTCCTAGGTATCTTATAGTAGACTATATGTTACTTCAGGTCGAATTCTTATCTGTGTACTAAATTTTATCTAAATCCGTTCGTATCAGATTTAAAGTTTGAACCGACTTTTTTGTTTATAAATGTAATAACACACGCTCAAGCACAACGTTAATTCTATTCCTGTCACTTATTCTCCGATGGGAGACGAGACAAACAAACAGACAAGACAAGTTGAGAGAAAAAAAGCCGCGTCAGAAGAAGACTAAGAAGAAGAAGTTGAGAGAATAGGCGCAGGGCTGACGGGCGACGGCTTCACGTGCCCCCGACTCACAGGGGTATTTCCCTGGATAATTTTATGAATAAAACTCCATAACTAAACTCGGCTCAACTCTGGATTTGAACCCATGACTTACGGATGTGGAACATGTTGGTCGCTAAACCACAGGCATACATTACAATACATAGCTAAAAGTGTATTCATGTGTGACGTATATTCGCTGTTTAGCTGTAAATCACCAGATGGATCTTAAATGGTAAAGGTGGCTTTTCAAATTTTAGTCTCTTTTAAATAAAAACGAGTGAGGGTAACTGCTTTAGATTAATTTACCTACACTCCAAATAGAGCGATAGGTCACGTGATATTCGTGAGAAAAGAAAAAGCTTACTACAATTTTGATGTGATAGAACAAGACAAAATGATCACTATTGTCGTCCCTCACCGTGTTGTGCCAATTCTGTCACTTTCGATTTTTAATACTCATCCATGATTTCGATAGTGTTTTAAGTCGAATTGAAAAAAGTGGACAGTTTTTAGTGAGATTTATAAAATTATCTATAATAATATTATGAAGAGGCAGAGTTTGTTTGTTTGTTTGTTTGTTTGTTTGTTTGTTTGTTTGTTTGTTTGTTTGTTTGTTTGAACGCGGTAATCTCAGGAACTACTAATCCGATTTGAAAAATTATTTTTGCATTACGGCCTGTCCGCACTGCGATATTTCACCGCACGTTTTTATTCTCGCAATTCTGTAACACATTGAATCTTATAGGAGTATCCGCACTGGCGGTTAAAAATTCACGCGGAAAAAAAATCTGTGATTTGATGCAAATTGAACGCGATGCGGCGCGGATATATTTCGCGCGAATGTTTTGTACAGTATATAGAAGTATGGCTATGGCCGCACTGCGAAATAAAATTCGCGCGTTTCGCTCAGTCGTGCACCGACCCTATTGGTTTATCGAATGATTTTGTAGTCATTCTGTAATATCCGAAAAACTTTTTACTGTATTTTCGCAGCTCTTGATATTTAATATAGAAAAACATCATTTTAGATTACTAAAATGTCTCAGTAGGTATATCGCAGGGCAGGGCCTTAGATAGCCCGTTTATTGAGGAAGGCTATAGGCTATAAAATAGTAAATATATCATATAGTATATTATAGTCTACCTATTCCATAGTAACCGTTAAATCGTACCTATCGTCGAAGTCGAACGAAGCGAGGGTGAGTCGCTAGTCTTCTTATAACTTCCCAATGTTTGTTCAATATGATAGATGCAGTGTTATTAGTAGTATGCCCATACAACTAGATATCGTGTCACATACAAATTCAAAACTAAATTCTGTCCGCGCGAATATGTACTTAAACAGCAGCTACTGTTGATCGAAGCTAGTAAGGTTTTGAAGTAGTCTCGAATGTCTTGCTTATCTATGGTTTGTATATTAAAATTGACATTACAATTGACAGCAAAGCGAATATTATTGACAGTTCACTGTTCAACAGTTGTGTAAATTTAATTTTTAATGTAATGTACCTATTTTCAAGGAACAACGTAAATATATCTGGCGGTTAATTTGTATTTAAAGTTTTTAGGTTAATTTATGGTCCATAGAAATAAACAGTAATAGGTAAATAATAATTGCATAGTGTTTAAGAAATAACAATTGGTTCAAAATATCACTGCATTGTTTGAAATTTTATAAAATGTATAATTCCGTAGAAGATAGAAGTGGAAGTGGTACGTATTATCGTATTTCATTTCAAAAAAATATTCTAATATGCATTCCTATATTTTTCATAGCTTCATAAATTAACCATGTGCATCTTACAAATTCTTAGATGGTTTTGTTTCATTATCCACCTTTAATTTTACCTTGTAATAACTTGTTATTTAAATTAGTAACAGAAGAAATGTACTTACTATAATTTTAGTCAATGTATAAAAACTATTCTTACAACATAAAGTTAAACAATTTAAATTAAAGTTAAACATTTAATAATAATTTACAGATAAAGATTTTGTGAGTCCTGACTTTACACCTAGAAGAGCCACTAGACATAGGACAAAGCCAAAAAAATATGATGAATATCTAGATACAACACCAGCGAAAAGAAAAACTTATAAACATAATGAAAGTTCTGATGAAGAATTTACTCTTGATGAAGAATCTGCACATAAGCCTAAAGGTATCATATAAATTATAATTATTTTTTATATAACATTTAATAATTAATATATATGTTAGTTTAAGGTATATATTATGGTATGGGCTTCTGTTTACATTTTTAAGATCTTTTTGTAAATATTGCCTGAAATAAATGATTAAATAAATTAATTTTATATACTTACATGTATCATAATACTTTTTTACATTTATGGGAATATTTGAAAAGTAAAGAACTATCCTTTGGATTATTTTGGTGTATTATTTTGATTTTTGACTATCAAGAATGACTTATTAGTTATTAATTCTTTATTTTAGCACTTTTTGGAAATGATGATGTGGACGGGCAAGATATTTTTAAATTCAAATCTCGTCACACAAAAAATGATCTTCAAAATAAAGTCAAAGCAGCTGTTATTAATTTAACTAACTCGCCAATGAAAACACCAAAAAAGAACCTACTCCTAAAAGTTGATGAGGCTACCCCAAAACATGTTGTTAATATTATGAAAAAAAGTTAGTATCCTGCAAAATTTGTTCAGTAGTAGTAGGTAACAGTTTAGCTTATTGTAATTCATGCAAAACTTAGATGCAGTTGAGTGATTGGTTGACCTCTTGAAATTATGCAGGTATATCCAGTGCAAAATTTATTTATTTATATTTCTTAATCTCTTTTCTAAAATAAAAGTAATAAAAGTAGCCTAAGTTTCTCCTTATAACATCTGCCAGTGAAAGTCCTGTCAAATCGGTCCAGCAGTTTTGGAGATTAGCCGACAGACAGGTGAAAATTATAAAACTTGTTTTTTTTTCTTATAAGTTCTGTACATATATACTTTCATATGCATTTAGTAAAAAGCTGTTATTTTGACATAACAAACCGACAATTTCAATTTTATATATTTGTATTAGATTAATAAATTCTTAATACCCATGGAACATTCAAGTTTTTAGCAAACTAGACTTCAGATGAAAGAAGAAATGTACAACATACCTAATTAGATATGAATTTATATAATTATATTAAAAGATTGAATAACTCAGTTACAAGTTTTTGCATTTGTAATTTTAGTGGGATAATATATATTTTTTTCAGAAATCATTCAGGCAGTAGATAGTGACAGTTCTGAGAGTGATTTTTCTGGAAGTAGCAGCGATTTTGTCCCAGATAAAAGTGATGAAGAGGTATGTTATGAATGATTTCAAGTTAATGATATAAATCACAATTTACTTTGAAGTGTTTTATTTTATTAGCATAAAAAGTTATAGTAAAAAATAATTTTTGTTATAATTGAAAGATTTTGATACAAAATTTCATTTGGATACATTTAACATTAAGGATTTATAAAGACTGAAAGCTATATGAATTATAATAATAAAAAAAATATATTTAAATAAATTATTAAATTCCTGATTGTGGAACTAAATTCAAAAATTGTGCTTCAATTTGTAATGTTTGAATGCAATTGTTTAGACCACTTTTGCTGTGCACATCAATCAGTAGGATGCTTGTGATGTAGAATGGAATTTACGATAAGAAATCTTTTTTTGATGTTTAATATCTGATATGTAAAATACAATGATAATGTCATACCAAAGGAAAAGAAATGTAAAACATAGCTTATTAAATGGGCGTTAATTATTTTATAGTATAGTATAAGGGCAGAAACTTTTTTTTATAAAAAAAATGATTGTAGAGTGATTCATCTCATGGCAACAGTGAATCTGATGCAGAAGAGGAGAGCGAACCAAAGAAACCAACCACTCAAATTACAGCAACCAAAAGCAAAGTTAGACAAAAACACACTGAATATTTTGTTACTTCAGATAATTATTTTATGATGAATTCTAGTAAAAAGGTAAAGAATAATTATTATGTTTCAGATCAAATATTACCAATAGATTTTTATTTTATTTTGCCATCATAGCAATATATATCTATATTGCCATCAATGCTTAAGACACAAAAAACATATTACAACATATTCTAACTTAGAAGGAATATGTCATTTTAACATAACTAAAAATGAGAGTATATCATATCCTTAGATGGTAATATATATAACCTATGAGTACTATTATATATGCGTACCTGTCTATTTATTATGTTTTAACAACAAAACTACTGAACAAATCTTGATCAGATATTGCTTTGAATTATGTTGAAATGATTGCTGTGTTTGTAATTCTGTTTTGTCAATGTTTCGTATACATTATTTGATCTTATCATTTGATTGTTTTTTAACAAATTTTCAAACATACCACAGAATGCGTATTATACCAATAATAAGCACAAAAAGTGTTCACTGTAGCTTATTTTGTGAAGAATCAAAACTATCTGTGTCAAGTTTCATCAGTATCAGTGTATCGTTTTGTGCGTATTTAAATAACACATATATTTAATATATACATATATTTTGTCCTAAAATTCATCCTTTTACATAAACAATTAAGTGCAACCGGTCCAGCAGTATCTTACAGCAATATTCATATCTTCACTAATAACTTAAAAACGTTAAAAAACAAAACATTGTTTGTGATACTAATATAATATATAGTATACTATATTTCTAAGAAGAAATAAAAACAAACTTAATTCGTTTTGCATATACAACTAGTAAAAGAAATCCAATAGTAATAATATTAAAATCATTTAAATTCTCATAACTCATTTCCAGATAACAACATCAGACCACACTCTCGCTAGGCTTAAAAATTTGAATCTCAACAATAATATAAAAGATGTGGACATTCACATGTCAAATGAACATAAAGATAAAATTACCGATTTAATACAATCATACGACCAATTATTTAATAGATGGTTATATGTTTTGAGTGAAAATTTCAACGTCATTCTGTATGGAATTGGATCAAAAAAGACTGTATTACAAAGATTTCAAATGGAGAAAATTCAAAATATGCCATGTATTGTAGTTAATGGTTTCTTTCCTAGTTTAACTGTGAAGAATATTCTAGAAACAATTGTCATAGATCTATTAGAAAATACTCATGTCTCATCTAATATAGGAGATGTAGTGAGCTTAATTGATTCACAATTAATAGAATATAGTGTGGAATTATTTTTAATAGTGCATAATATTGATGGTATAATGTTGAGGAGTTCCAAGGCACAGTCTGTTTTGGCTAATTTGGCTCGGTTGAAGAATATACATTTGATTGCTACAATAGATCATATAAATGCACCATTGTGTAAGTATTTTATACATACAGTTAAAAGTTTATCCAAAATCCAAACAAAAAAAAAAGATTGAAAAATGTTTCCATTTTGTTCGCCAGTTACACCTTGTTGCTGAGGAGGCTATAATTTATTGAATTAAATATTAATAGATTATTGAAAAAATAATATTTATAATATTTCTTTATAAAATTACGTTTTTACTGCAACTGAAGTTGATGTAGATACCTACAATCTACATATTGTAACTGTAAAAAATGTTGTATTCTTGTCTATTCTAATATTATAAAGAGGAAAAATTTGTTTTTTTTGTTCGTATTGAATAGGCCCTGAAATGTATGTATGTATGTATGTAAATAAAATATTGTAATATTCCAGTATGGGACCACAACAAACTAAGTAAGTTCAACTTTACGTGGTGGGACGTCACCACATTTCTGCCATATATCGAAGAAACTTCATTTGAGAACTCTCTGATGACGCAAAGGAGTGGCGCCTTACAACTGTCGTCTCTCAAGAGCGTATTCCAGTCACTCACTACTAACGCCAAAGGAATATTTCAAATCATTATTGAATATCAGTTGGAAAATCATAAACAAACTCATTATCAAGGTATATTATTGCATATAGTATATTGGCTCGTTGTAAGGTCCGACTTAATTTTTTTGTCTCGGCCGAGACCGAGAATGAGATAAATTTTCGCACACAACATTTAGTATGTTTTTAAAAGATCTGAAAATAATACAAAAAAGTTATTTTCAAGCAAAAAATCTTTAGAAATATTCTGACTTAACACTATTTCAATTATTGACAATTCACATACGTTTCAAAACAAATTATTAATTAAATACGAAAGGTAGTCATTTCCCCGACCCGCCGGCGGTTGTTGACGTTAAGCCAATCGGCAATCGTAAACAAAAACGCGAGTAACGAGCATATAATTCTCTCACGCGTCAAAATCTAAATACAACTAATTTGTCGGACCACAAGATTTCGAATTCGAACGACGAACGAATTCTCGACGTTTATAGGCCGAAAACTCGGCCTGATGATTAGCCGAGAATGAGTGGAACCGAGATCGATATATCGGTCAAACTTTACTCGTTGATATAGTGGCGACTTCGAAAATATCTGTTTAGGTATCTATAGTAAATGAAGTCTCAGTTTAGTTATTTTTTACTTTTTAGTGTATAGAAATAGGTTATTTTTTTCGTTTTTAGTGTAGACGTATTAGTAGCAAAGTAAGAAAAAAGTATTTAAATAAAAATATTCACTTAAGCCATTTAAGTTTGATGCCAATTTTTATATGATGACTAACAAACCAAAAAACTCACTTTTATTAGTAACAGTAAAAATCAGACTTAAAAATCCAATTCTAATGTATTTTGCTTGTCAATTGTGCACAAGTGAAACCAAATAAGCCTATACTCTAAAGTATTTACCAGTAGTCCTTGAAGAGTTCCACTATCCACCTTCTGGTCTCAACGTCAGATCAGCTCGATTAAACCAAACACTTGCAGAGTTTCAAGTCAATATAGGTATATTATTATTATAGTAGTCAGTAGGTAAAAAAGACTAGATCTGTCGTTTATCCTTCTAATTTCATGGGTTTTCCTGATTTTCTTAAAAACGGCTTTATGTCAAAGAAAATTTTATGAGATCGCATCGGGACATACCTTAATATAAATATAATTTGAATGAGCAAAATCCGTCAAGCCGTCTCCAAAAAATCGGTGAACATATTGTGAAGCAGTCAGGAATAATAAAAATAGTTTTTTACAAATCACTTTAATAATCACAGAGTTTTATACAATAACAACTTATTAACTTTTTAAATCTATACACTGGTAATTATTTCACAACACTAACACTGCAGAATAATAAATTTAAATCCCGAGCAAGACATTTATATATCCCACGCAATCCCCATCCACTCTCCTCTACTCACCTCACACTTCACACAGCTACACTAGCGCCTCCTCTCCAATACCTGCTCCTCACTTCACTTTACTCGTTACAATATATAAAATAAGTACAGACAACAATTATTATAGAATTTTCTCTTTTTTGGAAGTGGGTTAAAAATAAAACTATTTTTTTTAGCAATCAAACATTTTGACATTGCATAAAATATACTAAAAATAAATTATACTTGAACTCAGGACTTCCGTCTTTGTATCAACAAAAATGTAAGATTTCAATATTTTCCATAATTGTTTAATACTTCTACATTTCAGGGCTGCCATTCAAGGACTTATATTCAAAGGCTCGTGAGCACTTCCTCGTCAGCTCCGACCTGGCGTTGCGAGCTCAGCTTACTGAATTTTTAGATCATAAACTGGTGAAAATAAAAAGGACTTGTGATGGCAGTGAGAACCTCGTCATACCCATAGAGAGTGGATTGTTGCAGCAGTTTTTGGATCAGCAAAGTATTATGCAGTGATAGTAAACTTTGATTTAAATTAAACCTTTTGTTTTGTCGTCTTACAAAACCTTGCCTTCATAGTAGTTATTATTTTAATAGCTAATTTATTTTACCTGTATATATTTGCTTGCGTTTTAAAGTTGAAAAATGAAGTTTTTTTAGCAAACAACTCAAAACCGTACTTGGTGTTTGCCACATATTAGAATTTGCATTTTTTTAAACAAAATGGATGATGTTAGTTACATATTATATAATGTTCTCTTGTTATTCTAAAACAAAGTGGATTAATAAAAGAAATATTTTTGTATGTAGTTTTTATTTTACAATCCCAGAAATAAAGTCTTAATAGGATTATAATATATTTCAACAGGCCAGGTTGTAAATTACTTAAACTTAATGACTTACACAATACAATAAAATTATTAACTAAAATTCTCTTCAACATATCTGGCACATTCACCACGATGTATCAACCAAACTTCATAAATTATCATCGATATACTTAGTGCATAAATCGCTCTTTTAAAATTTAAAAAGATTGTAGAAAAATATTCTCTGAAATCATCAGATATCAAAGAATTTTATCTAATTTAATCAAATTATTTTATACATTACGATAATTTTAAGGGAAATGCTGCCGAAATTCAGGCGCCGCTTTAACACACAAAAACTCATGGCAGAGCGCGCCATAAGCTTTGTGTTGATATCTGGTAAGAGAAATAAAACATAATCACGTTTATTCTCAAACTTGTAGGGGGGGATATTTTTTCTATGTAAAACAATTACATCGATCAATAAAATTTTCTATAAAAAAAATCTACTTTATACTTTATTTCAACAGAACTTTTATTAATCCATGTATTTTTTTAATTATCAACAACACTAGATATGCGAGATGTATCGCACTTTCTGCCACAAGTTTTTGGGAGGTCCAAAGTAACACCATCACCTAACCCTTATTTCATTTATTTCTATATAATTTCTCACCCAAAACCTCAGCTGTTAGCTCAAATTTTGTGTGTAGACAGTAGCAGTTGCGCAACATATGGTTACTACCTATGTATATGACTTCGTATAATCCGAGCGACCAAAAGCGCCGTACAATATAGTTTCTTTTAGATATATTTCTTTAATCTCTATATTCAATATTCATTACACATTTCGGGGTGCGCAATTGTAATTTGTATAGACTACGTTAAAAAACTTCGTATGTATGAAGCAATTGACAATATTTATTGTATTCATTTTTATATTTCAATGTATATTGAAGTGAATAAACTGAATCATAATTAATTATTAAATAATAAACTAAAACGACAAAAAAAATTTCATGAGGGAATTCATTGCTCTTACAGTTTATTAAGAATTTTTTGTACATCAACATGTAAAACGAGCAATGTGTTGGGGTTTAAGTTTAAATAGTCTTACGAGTTGGTTCAATTGGTCGCGACAACACCAGGCGGAACACCGTCAGATTAGAAATCAAAATGACAAGATCTGATATATTCTCAATTTCACCCAAAATATCACTTATAGCTAATCAATTATAATGTAATTTAAGTTTCCGAGAGCTAATTTAAATCTAAAACCATGCATCGCATTCATTGATTAAACTAAAAAAAGCATGTCAATAGAATAAAAAAATAGTTATTACATAAACAATTTAATTGAAATATCAAGTTGTCGGACAACAAACTACAGATTCCACACAAAACACATCAATTGTAATAATCTTGATAACTAGACATCGGATCGACTTGAAGTTTGTTTTAGTTGATAAAACTCAAGTTTCTGTGACGGAAACTTCAGGACAACAATTTCAAAAAATATATTTTATAACAACAATATGGAGTTATTATAATAATAAAATGTTTAATATATTTGCGGATCTAATAATAGATTATTTATCAAACAGAAATAACATAATGCTAACGCAAATTGGCGCTAGTAACATTTATTTAATTGTGTAGACAAATAGAAATTATATTCATATATGCAACTCTTCACTCGATCTACGGGTCTATGGGAAGCTTTTCGTAACTAACCTGTATGCGTGTCCTGTACACTCATGACGTATTTATCACCAGTCAAAAACCCAAAAAATAAAAAAAATACAAATATCCCTACTAATTTATTTTTGAAATCTTATTTATAGGTAAATTTAGAATGAAAACAAATACTGAAAAAATACTGAATAGTATGGGAAGTTTTCCCCTGGATACGTGCTGAGCTATGGGAAAGCTTTCTGTAGATCTGTAGATCGGACGAACAGTCACTTCGAATATTTATACATAGTGTGACAATAACCTAATAACAAAATATGCTTTATAGAGTAAATTTTAATTTTAAGGAATATCTTAAAACTTTGACAGTTGAAAACAAAGTCTTAATAAAGTCAACTATTTTAAAATATGTTAAAAATATAAATGTTCTTTATAATATAAAATTTAATGTTATTCATAACATATACATTTAGCATAGACATAATGCCCTGTTGTTAATGTGTTTGTAAATTTACATTATGATTTAACTATATGTAATATAATCCGATGTCTATTGAGATTAGGTTTGACTTTCCGCTGGACCCATACATTGGCTCTGGCTCGGAGGCAGAAGTGCGCCATTTTCTACCTCAACATACCACTTGCTTTATTCCCATTGCAGTATTTCTATATTATATGTGTCATTTTATTGGATAAATTACGTTTAAATATAAAGAAGAGTCTAAAAGGAAATTAACTTTTATATAAAACATATAATATGTTACACATACAGTACATGTAACAACTCTAATGATCAAAGCTAAATAAATTCATTGAAGAAATATTAAAAATGAAAGTGACATACCATAGAAATAAAGCATGCAGTGCATTGCCTTGTCGCAATGATCGGTTTTATTGTCCGAAGTACCGGCTGTACACTTACAGAGCTAGTAAGATACGTAAGGCAACTCAGTTGTCGTCATCGTCGTGTTTCCGTTTCTTCCCCCGAGTGCTCTCCTCGTGCGTGTCCACGCCGTCTGGAATATTACATTCGTAACACTGTCATATTGCTCTTTGAAGGTTTCAATCTATACAGATAAATAAAATGAAGTATCTGTTTGTAATGTTAAAATAACAGCTTTTTGCTAAATGCATTTATGGAACTATATACGGTATTTATAAGAAAAACACAATTTTTATTCTGTCTGTTTAGTCTATTTGTTTGTTCCGGGTAATCTCCGAAACGGCTGGGCCGATTTTCACGGGACTTTAACTGGCGGGTAGTTGATGTTATAAGGAGTAACTTAGGCTACTTTTTTTTCAGTAAAAGAATTAGGGTTCCGCTTAAAAAAATTAAAATGTACCTAAATAATAAAATTAATAAAACGACACAAAAGATGTGTAAAGGTTGTGACTGACGATTATCAACTTTAAGACAAAAGGATTTAGGAAATGTAAAGATATTTTATTAGAGAAATCTCTGAATATTTCTTTAATCGATAACCGACTTCAGGGTTTCAGGCGCAAATATATGATTTAAAAAAGCTACCAAATATTGTTATTTAAGACTAATATCTATAGCTCAAACAACGGTTTGTATGTGCCCAGTAATCATTAAAAAGATTCAGAAATTTTACAGGCAGAACACATTTCTTCCTTCATTGTGTAGAGGCCCTTGGCAATATTAAAAGGGGTTGATATATTACTGTAATTATCTGGTGCAGAGAGTACTTTGTGTGTTGAGTGTACTTTGTACATGATAAGAAGTAACCGACCTAAGTTCTTTTTACTGGATCTTATTTTTACTAGGGTAATGTTAAAGGGTTTATGCGAAATCTAGAATATAACAAGAATTAACTTTTAACCCAGTTACTGTACGACTAATATATAATATTTATGTGTCCAGCTATGTATTTCATTTTGTTTTGTAAACGCCCATACTTTTCCTCTTACCCTCATTGTTAGGTAAATATATATATATACAAATATATAACAATCAATAGCTAGACTAGATTAGAGGTTGTTTGTTTGAAGGCTCTAAACAGGAACTACTAATCCGATTTGAAAAATTCTTTTTGTATTAGATAGCCCGTTTATTGATTAAGGCTATATATCATCATGCTACTACCCAAGGGAGCGTAATCATAAATGTCAACAAATCTGACAGACTCCTCATACATTATTACTAATAGCATAAAACCAGACTTTTTTGTGGTTTTAGCACGAGTGAACCCGCGGGGTCTGGTAGTAAAAATATATAGTCGTACAGTAACTGTATCAATAGGTTCAGACAATTTTCAAAGGCTAAGCCAATTTATTTGATCTACCTTTCTGAGTACAGGATCGATAAAACGAGAAGGGCTACTTTAAATCCTATAAAATTGACTTCTACTAGGGTTGAAGTGAAGCCAAGGTTAATGGCTAAATATATAAATATATAATAGTGTAATGTGCAATACCTTGTGGCTTAAAGTTTTGGTCGGCGTCTTCATTTTCCGCCTCCTCATCTTCTTCATCTTCCTCCTCCTCTACATCGCTGCCTACGTACAGCGAGCTGGCTGAACTTTCTTCCTCTGTATATAGTATAAACATGTTGGAAAACTATCACTATATAGTATAAAACAAAGTCGCTTCCCGCAATCTGTCTGTCCCTATGTATGCTTAGATCTTTAAAACTACGCAACGGATTTTGATGCGGTTTCTTTTAGTAGATAGAGTGATTCAAGAGGAAGGTTTATACGTATAAAATTTGTTAAGTTTTTGTGTACATTGGCTAAAATATAACGATATTTATTGAAGGTGTCGAAAAAAAAGCCGTCTAGGAGCTTTCAACGAAAACGCTACTTAAACCCTTTGAGATATAACAAAATAATGTATAGTGGAATTGTGTATCTTACACAAGTCTACAGAAAAGTCCGCGATGGCATATGTCTATCTCTTAAGGATAACATACTATATTCATTTTAATTTAAAACGTACCCAGGGACGAACCCGAGCGAAGCGAGGGTGAGTCGCTAGTTACCTATAAATCCAAAAGTTTTTATGTGTGTGTTTAACATACAGTGTTTGTGACCCCTTCACGTTGAAACGGCATCGTCATTTTCATTAAAATCCAATACAATGTTTGGACGAAATTTAGTACACAAACCCATGGAGTATCACATAAGCTACTGTTAGGCCGCTATTATAGTAGAACCCGAGCAAAGCGAGGGTGAGTCGGATCTTTATATATGTATTTTAAGAATCAACATTTGCATAACTAACCATTGTATCCATTAATAACAAAAACACACACAATTAGCATCTCAAAAGTGACCTCAAAAAAAAAGCGCACAAATCGAAATTGTGCATTTTTTTCAAATAGTTTAGAATTGCGTGAGCTACAGAGCGGACGTGTTAATGCCAAAGTTCGTTACTAAATTTTATACACTTGGAACTAAAATCACAAAAGAATGGAATTAATATTTGCTTTGAGAACAGTATATTACTATCTCCTTATATACTTCGCCTAATAAGATGATTCTGTTCTTATTGAAATGGAGTCTTTAACTTTTTAAATTATTTTTGTACTTTTTTTTATTTACTAGGTCCTAATTTCATTTAAGTAAAAAAATAAAAATAGCGAATTCATTACTTAGTTTTATTTGGAAGGAATAAATGCACTATTGAGTTTCATTTTTACCTAGGAGAAAGCCTATTTTCATTAACTTTAATACACTATCCTAATTATTAAATTGCATAATTAAAAAAGTATAACAACTCTACTCTATGTAGCTTTTATTCTGCCCGACTTCCTTCCGTTGGTGATTGTTTTTCGGAAGACAAATATAAAACGTGACGTAACGCACATTATTTTAATTTGAGTTAATATAATCCAAACTTAAGATTTTTGGGTTTTATCCTTTGGTTTGACTTTGGTGTACCCGCAGACACAAGTGCACTCATAGACACTTGCACTTGTGTCTGACTGTGTGTCCTTTTACTCTCATAGTACCATGGGACGTTACTTCGACACCCACAGTGAGAGTTAAGGCGCAGGAACGACGCGACACGTGCTTTTTGAGACACGGGGGTAAAACACCGCCAACTTTTCACTTCGGGTTATTACTGAGAATATCATAACAGAAAAACTCAGTAATTAAACTTGGTCCGACTCGGGACTGGATCCCAGGGCCTCCGGATCTGCGGCCGTACATGCCAGCCACTAGACCACCGAGACAGGTAACTCTATAGTAGTATATGATGAAATAGATCAAAATTTCTCACCTAGATCTGCTTTATAGACTGCACTCAAGGACAACTGATCATCATCCTCCTCATCCTCCAATTCAGACCCTGAAACAAAAACAAAAGTTATCCATATTTAATAAACACAGTAACATTACAGTGCATGCTTGTAATTATAAAATAGCTACCGCATGTTAAGTTTGTGTATTAACACAACACAAAATGTTTGTTTCTAAGGTTGTATTAACTAATCTCTAGAAGTGTTAATAATAATATGACATTAAACGATAGATAGTACGAGTTAGAGTTTCATCTATACATATAATAAAATTGTAACTAAGCCAAATCTGTACATTAAATATTTTTTGGGAAATCTTATTGAAATAAACATTATTATCGATACAGAAGCCGAATCTATAGTTTTTAGAATTTTTGTCTGTCTGTTTGTTTTTTACCGCATCATAGAAAAAAAACTGGAGGGATTTTGATGAAATTTGGTATGGTGATAGCTGGTTATCCGGGTCAACATATAACATATAGGATACTTTTTAACGCGGGAAAGTCTCATTTCTGAGGAAAAATACAAAAACTGCAATGTAAGAGTATACTAATATGTAAAACCTAAGAATTTGGTTTTTGGTTATCTGAACGCGGGCGAAGCCGCGGGCAATGCTATTATATTATAAAAACTTAAAATTAAAAAAATACTGATTGGTAGTTTTCATTTGCTATATACCTAATCAGATATTTTCGAAGTCGGTGTGCTTTGATTTGTATCAGCTGGCAACCTGTTTTCATTAAGTGTTTATTTTTCAATTTTCAGTGTTGACATAGAAGAAGGAAAAAGGAAAGTATTTTATAAATTCTGATTAAAAATCAATCACCCCTATTTCCTACACTTAGGGGTGGATTATTTTTTCAAATTGAATTGGGACCAAGTTTGAGGCATACCCATACCATTTTTTTATCGAAATCAGACTACAATGTAAAAGGTTATGCCTGGTCCAACATGAAAAAAAAAATATATGTCGATGTCGAATTTTATTATTCTGCATTAAATTATTACATTTTTTTACTGAACGTCATGACTTTACTACCAGTTCGGAAAGAAGAAGCCTCAGACCTGAGAAGAACTGGCGAAAAAACTTTAAAGTCAAAACAGGAAGTGTTCGTGTGAGGTAGACACTAAAAAAATGTCATATTCGCTAGTGTAAAGGGATTGCGTATGTGACATGGGCTATTTCTATTATCGTAGCATTTGAGGGAGGCACATACATACATAATATGTATGTATATATAGTGATGAAATGAGAGCATGCTGTAGGATAGTGATAGGCACCTTTAATCAATAGACACATAAACTTAAGTGGGTGTTAGACATGGGTAACTCAATGAATTTTTATGAGCTGCAGGTCAGCTCATGAGTCATATGCTTGAACCGGAGCTGTGAACCGGCTCACAGTTCAGCTCAATTGATGTTATATGGGTACTTATAACTATAGATTTACAGCTAATTTATGACTCTGTTCAAACAAATGACCTGTATGATGTACCTAAATTATATTTGTATGTAATAAAGCAGCATTTCGAAAAAAGTTATTATAGTCATATTTTTTCGTTCTTACACAATTATAGGGGAATGCTAATTTCATGCAATTATTATAAATGCTAGTGAGTTTGTTTGTTTGTTACGCCTTAACTATTCACCTGAATCCCGATTATCATTAAATACAGACAGAAAAGGACATAGAGTACCTACCTACTTTAATTAACGTAGGTACCGACTACCGTAGTTTCCTGTATCACGCAAGCGGAGCCGCGGGCGAAAACTAGTTATTTATATTTAATTTATAAAACTAGTACTTAATATTAGTTTATTGTTGTATAAAACTAAATAGTAGAACTGCCTTCCGAGACGGTGGTAACTTCCGCACAAACTAACTACACTGAAAATTTAAAATGTAAAATTGACGATTCAAAAGTGCTTGTAAAAGTCTATTTGAATAAAGTATATTTAGATTTTATCCTAATATTATTTTAAAACACAGAGCGTGTAATTAATTATTATTAATATAAGAAGAAAAAATATTAAACAATTAATTTGACCTCTCTGTAAAAAGTATAGATTATAGACTATAGTACAGGTCCGTCGGCTCGGGTCCATCGAAATAGCTGACGTTAGGTGGCGCTGAAGTGATGCACGGAGCCATATTAAGTAATATTGAGCTGTGAACCGATTATCTAGCAACTGAGCCGCAGCTCAACGGCTCTAGCTACTGTGAACTGAATATTTGAACCGGCTCTGAGCTGAGTTACACATAGTGAGTGGGTGTTGATTAGAATGTTTATAATCACAAATACACTACAAATCTAAAGAGATAAAGTAAATAGTATACATATATTAAAATTTCCTTATTTAGAGAACTTTTAAAAAGACACTTGTATGGAATTATTTGGAAGTAAACCTATTTGAGAATAAATACAATATATGAAAAAAGGAATAATTTAAAGATGTTAGTCATTAATATTATTATTTTTAAATAAATATAGACTAGGAGGTACATATAATCAATAAAACTAGAAAAATTGGTCAAGTGCGAGTCGAATTCGCACACGAAGGGTTCCATACCATCGTACACGTACTTGTATGTTAACATCGATGATCGATTACGAACGTTAATAAAATGTTTCTTGTATTTTTATTATTTGTTGTTATAGTGGCATTAGAAGTACATACTCTATGAAAACTAAACTCTCTATATACTTATTACGATTCATGGGATACACCCCACTGACAAAGGGACAGACAGCGGAGGCTTAGTAATAGAGTTCTATTGTCACCCTTCGGGTATAGAACCCTACAAAAAAGGTCCAAGGCATTTCTGTTCAATATGTTCTCTAAAAACTATGCTGAAAGAAAAAACATCATATATCCTTGAGATGCCACATGGAAAATGAGTGAATAAGCATCACAAAAAGACACTATTTATAATGATAAGTTGACACTTCCACAACAAAGCTCTTTACTTAAAAGTGCTTATTGGTCACTTACCTCGGGTCCTTTAATTATGGTAACATGAAATGTCATTGGGTTTTACATTTAGAAAACACATTTTTGCTTATTAAATGTAAAATTTCCAAATAAACATTTAATGTAATATCATCACTACAGATAAATAAAACTGAAGTGTCTGTTTGTAATGTCAAAATAACAGCTTTTTACAAAACGCATATGAAAGTAAACTTACAGCACAAAGAAAACAATTTTTAAATTTTTGTTTGTCTGTCTGTTTGTTCCGGCTAATTTCCAAAACGGCAACTTCTTTTCACGGGATTTTCAATGGCAGTTAGCTGATGTTATAATAGTAAATTAGGTTACTTTTATTTTGGAAAAAGAATCAGGGAAATTGTAACTGTAATCAGTGTACCTAGGGACGCACCCGAGCAAAGCGAAGGTAAGTAGCTAAGTATGAGTATTACACACATAATAATAAATAATTATTATGGAGTTATCAACTTGTCATTTTAGTTTATAAATTATGATGCTTACTTCTTGTAAGATAACCCATGTGGAATAGCAGACCATAAACTGTATATAATGAAATAAGGAGGCTGGGCGACTCCTCCGGTAACCGCTCTGACAAAGTTTCATCGTCAATAACTAAAGGACCCAAATCTATGTCCAAATCTGTAAGACAGTATAATGCCACTTTTAAATTATTTAACACATGTGTAGTACTAAATATTTATTTGATATACTGCATTGTGTTGTTGTTTGTCCCGTCATTTGCATATTATCTTAGAGTTTGTCAGTAACCAGGAAGTTGGGGCCTAAAGGATTATCTAATGTTTAATTTCGTATACAAAACTATTGATATATTATTGTTAGTATTATTGGAGTTCACATTGTAGATGGCATGTACATTTCAATACTTACTTGAAGAGCCTTTGTAATCCATTTTTAAATTTAATGTATTTGAAAATTAATTTAGTTTAATTTTAATCTAATAATTTGTATTTCTATACCAATTATTAATCAAACATGTAATTGATGTACAAATTTCAAAAAAATTATGCCAGTATATATCAAACCTTCTTCTTCACTGTTGTTTCCATTCAATTCTTCTCCATCTTCTTTATCAGTGTCACTGTCTTCCCCTTCCCTATCTTGCTTGTCATATCTGTAATGTAATAAATAAATATATCATTTAGAGATATTTCATACTTACATTTAATAATCTATACTAATATTATAAAGAGGTAAAGTTTGTGAGATTGTGAGGTTGTAGGGGGTAACCTCTGGATCTATTTAGTTAAGTACTACTTACCCATCTAAGTATTTCAGTGATGGATGTAATGCAAATACTTTACTCCTGTAATCTTCAATATTGGTGACATCATTGTTAAAGAGATCTAAGTTTCTCAGGTTTTCAAATGCTTGAAGAGGCTTTAGTGTCTCCAAGTCCTTTATTTTGTTGCCAGACAGATTTAAGTGTGTTAATTTCTTGCAACCACTGAGAAAGTTGAGTCCATTTGATATTCTGTTGTCAGAGAGTTCCAACTTTCGCAATTTAGGTAGAGTGGGAAATCCTTTAAGGTGAATGAGTCCAACATTGTTCAGACTTAAAATTTCAAGATTGGTATAGGCATCTGATAGACCAACAATTTGAGGGCTTCTACAGTTGTCCAAGTTAAGCTCTTTTATCTGTAATTTTAAGAATACATCTATAGTGAAACCCAATCTATACAAAATAAAATTGTATATTGAACATATACAATTTTATATTTATGTATTTATTTATTCATTTATATTTGAGATAAAATAAACCAAAATAGGTACTAGTGTTTAGAACTTTGATCTGAACCCTCTATATGTTTTCAATGGAACTTTTTTGTTATATATTTTAAATTAAGAGATAGCTATACACTTATATCTTAAATTGCACGATTTTCGTGGTTCAATTTAAAGCGCAATATGAATTACCAGAAATACATATATGCTATTATAATTATATGCGAAGCCGCACGCAGTAGTTAGTAATAAATATACGAAACAGAATATTTATGTCGTGTGTACGATAAAGATATATAAGTATCAGATATGTATATGGTGCGTTAATGGTCTCCTTTAAATTATGGTGATTGTCAAATGTTTTTATTTCATAGAAAACGGCATATGTAATATGAATTTAAAAATAAATGTTGATTTCTCAAGCCATTTTAAAAATAATTAAGGGGTAAAATATCATTTTATAGAAATAAGTTTTGCAATTGGCTTTTCGTGAAGGATTTCGAAAGTCAAGCTATGCAAACGTCAAAATGGTGCAAGTTGTCAAAGGTTGCGACTTTACGTAGTTTAAAAAATCTTACAACGTAGTGTTAACAATAAGTATTTCTTCAATTGAACATGAAGGGATGTGTTAAATGCTATCGTTTGTATAATCAATATTGATAAACGTGTTTTGTAGCTGAAAATGGAATGATAGTTTTCATCTTGCAATGGCGGATGACACGAATCATCGCGACGCAATAAAAATGGCCGCTGTATTGGTAAGGCGTGCGTCAATAAAATACAATTGCAGTATGTTAATATATAGTGGAGAAAATCGACACAACTCAAATAATATAATAAATTAAACAATATTTTTTAATGCAGCTATCATAGTGTTTATCTAGAAAAAAGGAGGTTGAGTGAAAGGGCGCGAAATTACGTAGAGTAGTATACATTTGATATATAAACGCAATCCTATTTGCTTTAAACAAATCCTACTTTTATAGCGATATTATTTAACTATTGCAATATGCTAAATCATACTAACATAATATTTAAGAATATTGGAACTTGATTATAGCTTTATAGACTTCTGAAACAAATATGTACAATACCAATAATCGAGATACATACGATGATAAGCGGCTTGACATAAAATACTTCTATGTTTTGTAAAAATGTTAAGTATTTATACAAGTAATGCTCTATAGCACGCCTATCAATGGTCTAATATTCTGGAAAGCAACCTTTTACAATTTCTAATGTAATTTTAACACTTAACCTCAAATATGTAATAATGGCAGAATTCTAGATTTCTTCTAAATGGAACTAGGGGGTTTAAAGACTTATACATGGAAATAAATAAAAAACATTATTTTGATTAACCTTATGTTAAAAACGTGAACGAGAACGCACATAACATTTGGTAATTGCGTCTGCTATAAACAATAACGCCACATCTCAAAAGGATGTATATGTGGATATGTATCGGCTTTTAAGCAATGCACTACGATTATTCATAATTTAATAAAAATGAATAAGTTTTAAGGGTCCTAAAAACAATACGTATCTCAGGAAATACGTATCGACAAAACATTCCAATATAACGAAAAAACTAATTCATTTACCTGTGAGGGATCTCTTCCCAGAGTTTCTAAATTGACTCTCTTTTCCATCTTCTTATATGGTAGAATTTACACTATAAACACCTTGAAAACGTTTTAATTGCTCAAGGAACTAAATCACTTAGCTAGCTTGGGTTTCAAAACAGAAGGAAACTATAGATACACATTACACACGACTGACGTTATACCACCAGTGCCGCCTAGCGTTCAATTGTGGCAACCGGATACTACGTTGTCGTTTAGCAGTTCATTTTATGATTTCTTTTAAAGATTCTTCGTGTAATGTGTAAATAAAAATTTAAGATACTATAAAAGTATAAGTATATTTAAGATATTGTAATTTTTTATTACATCGAGACAAAGTTAACTTTTGTGATAAATTAAATGAAATTGATTTTTAATTTGTGCTACTTATAGCAACTTTGCTGTCCTACTATCAAAGCCGGCATTTCTGAAATGATGTAGAGATTTTTCTACTTAGACTCATGATGCTTTTTGAAAACTAACATTCTGGAATTAAAGTTATAAAAAAAGTTTTTAAAACAATTCTTAAATAATATTTATTATATTTTATTATAATGGTAAAATTGCAGTTTTATTTTTGAGTTACATATTAGTTATTTTGTTTCGGAAATAATAGATATAGAATATTGAACTTTTATTTATTTATTTATAAATCGTGATTAATAATAATTATTATAAATTAAAAAAAATATCTACTACATAATATATTCTATTATATTATTATTTATTATGTAGTAGATATTTTTTTTTTCAAATATTAACTTAAGAATTTATATCTATGAGCTATATTATATTATTTTCAAAAAAAAATTTGCAGAGTTAAAATTAAATAGTAACTACCTACACTCATTATTTTCTTCGCTCTCCGCCATTATCAAGACGCTGCGTGTTGTAGTGTTGTATGGCATAAATTAAATGCATCGTATATGGTCAATAAGAATATTCATTAATTCCCAGGGGAGGTTATTAAATGTACTACTTCAAGTGCGTTAGGTAACAGACACATTGTTGTACTCAAAATTACTTATATACACATAAAATAATGTATTTATTTAATCATTAATTTTCTATTCCCTCCTTTATATATGTATATCTATTACACACAGGAATGGTTAAATCTGTCCGCCCATCCTTTAAAGATTTTTTTAATATGAATTGATTGGATTTTTACAGGAATTATTTTCATTCACCACAATACATAGCAAAGAACTTCGACTAAGACTCTAGTAGAGTGTGAGTCGATCGGAGTCGGACTCGCGGCTACAAGGGTTAAGCATAGTGGGACTGGGTTTTTGAATTCGTGTAGAGCCTTAAGGTAGGATATGTGAGGAATATAGTAGAAAGTTATTTGTGAGGAATATATTAAGACGGTACGGAATCAGCGGCGTATGAATCTGAGTCGCACTTAACCGATTTTCTAATATACTTACAATTCACTTAGATTATTTTCAACTGCCTGGGGCAATGTTCTGACCACAAGATTTCTATTAAATCCGTAATCATAAAACATCCTTGTTTTATTTGGGAGTGCGTAGAATAGTGGACCTTGAAAGTTATAACTTTAGATATATGTAACCGAATGAAATAATAATTTATTTTTAAGCAGCTCTTACCAGCGGCTGCTTTTGCGTATTTTATTTATATGTAATTGTTCTGCATTTAAAGTTCGTAGGCTAATGTTAAATAGCATATTGTAGCCTTCCTAAATAATCCGATAAATAACTATTGATACAAATAGGACTGTTAGAGACACATATTAGCGGGCCCATACAAAAAAAATATCATCAAAGACATTATAATATGAATATAGAGTCATACGAATATATTTTGTAAAATGCCCCATTTAGATTTATGAACTTTATGATGTATACATGATAAGTGATGACTCTTTAATACGTATCATTTAAATAATTCGTTTGGGCATGCGCTCGTTGGAACACCAAGTGAGGCAAATTCCGGATTTTCACACAAATTCATCACAATATCATTTTCAACTTGCTAATACGGTCGTACAAAATATCGCCAGGAAGCTTATGGCTGAGATAACCTAACAATTTTCTTCGTTTCGTAGTCCACGAACGTGATGCAATATGTTCTAATCCCCCTCATATCAAGGGGAGGCTGATGTTCAGCTGTGGGCCTTTAAAAAGGTGTAAATTATTATATTATGTACATAAAACGACATTGATAACTGTTAAAAAAGGTCTAATGGGACAAATGGATGCAAAATGTTGCCCTTTATGGGTATGAAAATTAGTTTTTCCGGGAACTAATTATGTTGCTAATTTCTGTGCTCAAATTTATTTTAACTTGTATGATTACATATGTTTAATTATATTTAAATGTATAGATATTTTTAAATATTAACTGGTTAAGATACGAAATCGTGTTTTAATGTACCTATTTCTTTCTTATTCCTTCCTGGTAACGGCTGAAATTATTTTAATGGGACTTTTATATGGGCCAAGGATGTATTCGAAAGTCACACAAACATTTAAATTGATATCAAAAACCACGGACGACAGCTATTTTAAATACAAAGAGACAAAACCAATATTTTATACTAGAAAGACAATCAATCAGTCTTTGGGTTAGAAAATGTACGAGTACTCATCTCAACCGAAGCACTACTATTACTGATTACTTGTGTACTGTTATTATTTTTTTGAGATGAATTTTATAGCAATGTTCTTGAGGCATATTCTCAAATATATCTATATTATTGTGAGTATACCCACCTTAGGAGATCACACATGCTATTGTGGGCTTTTCTGAAGCCTTTTTAAGACCTACAATTTTCTAGTACATTGTTTTGACGTACATACATATGTAAATCTTAAGGTTTAGTCAGTATTAGCCATGTAAACTTGTAAGGGTGCTCGGCAGAACCGGTTATTGTATTTTTCCGTGGGAACGACAGATTTTCCTCTTGTTAAAAGTATCCGAAATGTTAACCCAAGTAATAAATTAACACTACACTATTTGGTTAAAATCAATTCAGCACACTAACATAATACAGACAAACAGACAATTTTTTTTAATAACTATTGTTTCGGGGTCTATTCACTATACAATATACATTATAATTTATTACACTGATTTCACTTTATTACTTTTTAGGGTTCCGTACCTCAAAAGGTAAAAAAGGAACCCTTATAAGATCGCTCTCTTGTCCGTCTGTCCGTGTGTCACCACCGATCTTCTCAGGAACGGGTGGATGGACCTAGCAAGTTGAACTTTATACCAGATACTTAGATCTATAGTTTCTATTATGTGTATAAAAATCAAGGTCCTGAGTCAACACGTTTAAAAGATATGGGCAAATTTATATTTTCGCGAAAACTTGAAAGTACCAAAATTTACCTAGATTTTCAACTTTTTTTATTTTTCGGAATTTTCCCTTTACTTGTGCTGTAAGACCTTGTTTTTAACCAAAATTGACAATTATAGGCCAACCGGAAGTACCCTATAGGTTTTGGGTCGAAAACCTATGTGGTAGTTCCCGTTGACCTAGAATCACGAAATTTGGCAAAAAGTAAGGTCTTACAGCACAAATAAAGGAAAAAATCCAAAAAATAAAAAAGTTGAATATTAAAGTTAAACAGATTTTATACAAATTTGTACGGAACCCTCGATGGGCAAGTCCGACTCGCACTTGTCCGTAAACTTATAATATTAGTCCAGCTTTACATTATCATTCCAGACATTTACTATAATAACATTAAGTTAACCCAATTTAAATAAGACAGATACTAAAAATTAAAATGAAGATTATTTTTTATTTTTATTCTTAGTTTTTATCACCAGCAAGGAATCGAAGCGTTAAAATTAAATAGTGTACTATTTAATGCTAATGTTTTATTTTATTACTCCTTTAGTGTATCTGTAAATAAAAATATTTGTTCCTGGAGTAATGTTTATAATTTTTAAAGCTAACAGCTGCCAGTCACAAATGGACTAATTTAGCAGATTAGCCTCCGAGTGTGCAGCCGTACATGCTAGCCACTACACCACCGAGGCAGTTACTTAAGTATAAAAGTTATTGTATAAAAATAATTGAATATTACAAAGTAATAATCATCTTATGAGCTTTTATATACACATTCATTACTTTGAATGAATTTAATATATGTACTTTTGAACAGATTTACGTATTTAGTTTTTTTTTATAAATTCTGTAGCCAGATAGATAATTTTTTATAAAAAAAACAATATAATGAAGTATACTTCATTACGAGTATATGTTTTTTTTTTATAAAAAGAGTAACAATACATATTGTAAAAAGAATGTAAATAATGACAGAAATATCATATTATGTCATATTTTTGTAAACAAAACAACCTGTATCCTTCCAAAAATAGTTACTTGAGTGTTTATACTACAAGTTTTTGAGGTATTTACATTATGAAAATAACGTTTCGAAGTACATATAGTTCATTTGTTATTAGGCGGTTTATGCTGTGTAGTGTTATTCTATTTGTACTCATATTTATAATATGTTCGTGGATGACTAAGAATACAGAAATATTTAATATATTTTCACAAAATGCCATGAAATACATACAATTTGAGGAAATATCGACAACACGTTTGAGTAAAGCTGAAATAAATCATTTACTTCATGATCATAATCGAGAAGCAAATATATTGAATTTAGATAAATTTGGACCCATAAAAAATGATACAACTGTTATAGTGTTTCAAATACGTAAATTTTCTCAATCTTTTAAATATGTTTTAGCATCATTGTGCGATTTGAATGGGATTCAAGAAGCACTTATTATATTCTCTCATTTGCACTTTGATGTGAATATGAATAGATTAATTCAAAGTATAGATTTTTGTCGTGTATTGCAAATCTTTTATCCGCATTCATTGCAAGTCTTCACACATGTATCGGTGGGGCATATTAAAAATTATTGCTTGTACGACACTAGTATTGAAAAATTTAATTATACAGGTGCGTTTACTCCAGGTGTTGCCAGAATTTACCGAGAACCAATAAAAAATGAAAAGAAGCATTTCT